GTTACTTCTTTTGAATTTTTTAAAGTGAAATCATTTATATGGGTCAAAGATTTTCTCTTATTCATAAAAATAATAAGATATGAAGATTTCTTTATTAACTGTTCTTTTTAATTGTTTGCCGTTACTTGGGTTAATTTACACCCAATTTGCAAATGTTGCACTTATGAAATAAATTTATATTAGACATCACATTGAATATCCCACAGAACATATTAAACAAATCATATTAGGGATTTTTCATTAGTTATTTGTAACTAAATCAAACACAATGTAATATAGGAGGCAAATTAATATACTCCAAATTAAGTATGAAATATGACCTCACTTTGTATCATTTGAAAATCAAAATCTATTCATGTTAAGGCTATTGTTAAATGAGACCATCTTAGATGTTTTGGGGTGCACAAATTATATTAAAAGCTGTCATTAATATTCAATCTATTATGTTTAAATAGATTTTCACTTTTTTTTACAAATGTTTGGAAATTAAATATTTTTATATATAATCCTTATTCTCTGTCCTTCAAAGTTTATTCTTATTTACTAATGATTTTTCAGGATATTCTGAGCAGCCATTGTCCATCTCTCTCAGCTAACAAGAACCAAGAAAAACCCATGTTTACTGTTTCTCAAATAAGGAAATATATTTAAACATATATAATATGATAAATTAAATAAGCAGTTGCTTAGAGTTGTCCTTAATATCAAACTACTACTCCTAAGCACGACAGCTTGAGATATTGACATGAAAGCCTTTCAAATATAAAATGTTTGAGCTCAAAATGCCACAACATCTCTGATTTGCTGGAAATGGGTCTGTATGTGTGAGGGATAATAACGCATTTCCAAATAATTTTTTCCGTGAAACTCTGCAGCTTCATAATCAAAAGGAATGTTGTTGGCTTGTGGGGAGCAAAGTCGAATCAAAATTCTGAAAGTTGTACAAAATCAATACTCAATACTTTTGCCTTTTGAGGAATGAGAAAGCAGACTTTCTCAGGGAACTGCAACTAGTTTCCAAAGGATGCATGACGCAAATATTTACAAGATTTTTTTTTTAAAGGGGATTCTCACTTCTTTTTTTTATTGAAAAAGTTTTATTGACAATTAACAAAAAAATTTAAACCCACAAAACCCCCCACCCCCACCCCCCTACCCCCCCACTTCCCAGAGCCGACTACAGGGTTATTACAAACATATTAAACAAAATCTAATTAAATTTAACAAATTATACAATAACTAAATTCATACTTAACCCTTAACTCCCTTTAAACCTTAATATCATAATATTATAAACAAATCCATTTTAAAACAATTATTATAAAGAATCATAACAACAGTAAATAAACTAAATAATTTCCATTATAAAATACTATTAATAATAATTATTATTTAAAATTTAATCATAAAACAAATGGAACTTTTTAGTTCCATATTTAATCTGAATATAATCTATCCATCTTCTCCATACCATAATATGTCTTTCTTGTGTATGATCCTTTAAATAAGCAGAAATTTTAGCCATTTCTGCTAAATTAGAAACCTTAAGTGTCCATTCTTCTATAGTAGGCAACGAATTTCTCTTCCAATTTTGACCTATCAACAGCCTTGCTGCTGGTACTAGATTCAACATTAAAATAGTTTCTTTGACATCAAGATCCTCAAAAATCCCTAGTAAGAATAGTTGAGGAGTAAACTTTATCTTCCTTTTAAAAATCTTTTGAATGTTCCACCAAATCATAATCCAAAAAGCCTTAATATTTTTACAAGTCCACCAAACATGAAAATAAGTTGCATCAGAACTACCGTATCTCCAACATTTAGACTGTAAATTAGAATACATACAAGACAACTTTTTAGGATCCAAATGCCAACTATAAAACATTTTGTAAAAATTTTCCCTTAAATTTTGAGCCTGTGTAAATTTAACATTTCTAATCCAAATTATCTCCCATAAATCCAATGGAATCGGTTCCTGGAGATTCTGAGCCCATTTAACCATACAATCTTTAACCAATTCCGTTTCCGAATCCAATTCTATTAACGCAATATAAATTCTTTTTATGTGAGCCTTACTCTGATCTTTAATCTGAATTACCAAATTTTCATCTCCTAATGTTATTCCTACTTTTTTATCTAAAGTCCACCTATCCTCTATTTGTAAATACTGGAACCATGACTGTAAAATATTTTCTTGCCTTAATGCATCTAAAGATTTTAATTGCCAGTCAGTACCTGACCAAATAAGTAATTCTTTATATGGATTTTTTTTCAAAATTCATCCCCTTAGAAATCCCCTCAATTGCATGTCCAGGAAGGGGATTCTCACTTCTTAAGATCTGATGAACTATGACCAAAAAGGAGCGTACAGTATATGAAATTCCTCAGCCTGGTTTTTATCTCCCTCTCTAATGTTAGCCAACACAGAATCTCTAAGATTAGAGAGAGTATAACAATTTATTACCAGAGACAAAAGACAAATCAAAATAATTATATCCCTTGCTTCTGAATCTGCCACAGCATGTAATTGGCATTATAGAAGGGGGCATTGGACTTGTGGAATCTGGTGTAAACCATGAAGGCTGTTCCATTTGTTAATATATAATGTTGCACATTCTTCCTTCTCCTGCAGAATCTAACTTGAACTCAGTAAAGGCTTCCTAGAACACAGTGAGACTGTATATTCAAACAGAGTCGCTTTAGCCATTGGCTATCAATATAACAGTGTAATGTTCATTCCTGCAGCAGTTTAAATCTGGTGGAGGTTTTTTTTTTCATATTAACAGAACAGTCTGCTTTGGCTTCTGGGCCTTGGGGCAAAAGGCCAGTGGACCATTGGCACAGAATGGGACAACTTGCCCCAGCCAACTAGCTACAGGACAACTTGCTATGGGACAGTTCGACAATTCAATGTAATTATATAAAATAGTTAAAAAATATTTTAATTTTTGTCATTCACATTTCATTTTGTCCCTTCTTTGATATCCTTTCTTTAATGATTCCGTTTGTCTATTTCTTCAATATTAGTATAACTCTTGTCCTGTGGCAAATTGAACATGGCACGTTGGCCGTGGAAAGTTGTCGTAAATGGAATAATCAGCATTTCTGTTCCAACCCCCCCTCCCTTTCTCTCAGAGGAATTCTTCCACATGAAATAATAACTCTCATAACTTCTTGCTTTTACAGCAGTGGTCTTAATGTTCAGTTCACATTTGACTATAATAAGGTGACCAACCGTCCTCCTTTAGGGAGGACAGTCCTCCTTTTGTGAGTTCTGGCCTTCCTCGAAAAGTGTCCTCCTACATGTCCTCCAGCACCTTTTTTTGATAGTTTTTTTTCAACCTTTGCATAAGCTGTGCTACTCCCCCTATTGGCTTTCAAAAGCCAATAGGAATTGCTGCTGAGCATGCCAAACCCCCGGCCGGCAAACTTTGCACATGTAAGTTGTCTGCAGCAAAGGTGAATTGGCAGGAACTTTGCATCCCTCCCTGCTACCCAACTACACTATCTCCTAGTTAGTCCCGAAGATACCTGGAGGAGACAGGAGCGGCAATGCCATGGTAACTTTCTCTTGTTCTTCGGCCCTGATAGGACAATAATGGCTGCGGGTGCAAGAGGCAAGGACGGCGAGGCTGCTGTGGGCAAGGGTGTGAGGGCTGGCGGTTGCTGGCTGCCCCCCATGTTCTGGGAACCGCAGGGCCTGCTCTACACGGGACTGCTCAGGGTGGGCAGTGGTGCTGGCAGGGCGGCTGTAGGCGGGGTGTGTTGATGGCGGGCTGCCCCCCGGGACTGGAGCCAGCACAGCTGGTGCTTTGGGAGCCACAGCATCTGCTCTACATGGCGGGGCAGTAATGCTTGGCGGGGCGGCTGCAATCGGGGGCACAGCATGTAAGCATAATTACAATATAAAATGTTATTGTTACAAATGTTTTTATTATGCATTTATCATATTATAGTGTATTCTGTATTATTGTTGCAATGAATAAAATGTTTCTTTTATCTACGATATTTTTTTCTTCAATTTATTTGTGTCCTCCTTTTCATTGTAAAAAAGTTGGTCACCTTAACTATAAGCTAGTTGTCCTGTGATTGATCTACTTTTTCAGTTAACAGGGGAAGAGAGATTGCTTCAACAAGCTAGCTATTCTTAAGCTGCTTTCCTGAGCAGTGTGCTGCTTGCTTACCAAGCAGGAGATGTGAACTAACAAGCTCCTCTTTCTGACCTTAATCAGTTGATAGATATTTCCTTTCTCCTCCCATGTGGTTCATGCCTCACTACCAAATGACATAATAAGGGAAATTACTTGTGCTACTGTGTACCTTTCTACGGGCTTTCCCCATTGTTCACCTAAATGTCCTTTCTTCTCCTTTAGAAGCTAAGTAATAGAGCATCCAGTTTCAGTATTTAAAAGATTTAACAGAATTTAACAGAATTACAGGGTTGGAAGGGACCTTGGAGGTCTTCTAGTCTAACCCCCTGCTAAACCTATACCATGTCTGACAAATGGCTGGCAAATCTATATTTAAAAACTTCCAGTTTTGGAACACCCACAACTTCTGGAGGCAAGTCCCATCTCACTGATTAGTTGTTCTAACTGCCAGGAAATTTCTCCTTGCTTCTAGGTTTCCTTCTGGTTACTCTTCCCTAGAGCAGGGTGAGCAGTCCAAGGGATAGAAGGAAGAATGGGGAGGGGGCTCTAAAATCTGATCCCTAAAGGCAACTCATTGTAAGTAGATGCCATGAAGTTTCCTGCTTGCCAATTTGGCTTGTGGTGGATAATCCATGATGCTGTAAATACTGCATTTTCATTAATAAGCCCTAATTAATTGTAATTATACTGACATCTTTTCTTGTGTTCACCTTTTTTGAAATCCAACCTGCAAATTCTAAATTTTCAGGTTAGAGTTCAAAATTGCAGCTGCATTAGTCATGATATAGTAGTGACATATTTTCAGTGGTATCAAGAAATAAATATTTTTAGAAATTCTGGCTGACTTACTGTCCTGGACCGGATTTCTTTGGCGTAGAGAGGTTTCAAGAATTCTGAATCTCCTTCTAGCTTTAAACCTTTTTCTGTAATCCTTAGGTTTCCCATTCCATCCTGAAATATAGAAAATCATTACTATGATTTCATAAAATCAAGATTGCAAAAAGAAAAACAAAATCTTAGGGAAAACACTACATAAGCTTTGCTATTCAATCTTTTGGCTTAGGTTTTGTGAGAAAACTGTTTCAAGCAAGCTTAAATTCATGTCTTTAAATCAGGTAAATGATGTCATCTGGGAGAGAAGCTATAAAAATGAAGTATTCTGCACACTGAATGACTCTCTTTCTGTCTGCAAGGCTCACTTTTTTTTGCTTATTAATAACCTCATTTTGCCCAAACAACCTTACAAATATCCTATATAGTTAAAATGCTCATCAGAATTCTACAATAAAAATAGAAATAAAAATAATGTTCAAGTGCTGAAAAACAATTGACCAGAATGAATGCTTTTATGCCCCCCTTTAATCTATAGCTTTTTATTTTACTTTGCAAAATTTAGCACAAGGCTGAGCATCATTCTTTGGTGGATGGCTACATCTCCTTAGAAATCTATAGATGATTACATGTAAATGAATGCTAAGGCCATTATTGTTTTTTCTTTTGCATCCTTCTTCTTTTATGTCCTTTCACGTGAACTAGATTAGAATGAATTGCTGTTGACAAAGATTTGAACTGATAGTCTACAGAAAGTTTTGAAGTTAAGCTGAGGACTAATCCTTTCTCTAGCCATTAAATTTGACAGTAAAGCAGATTATCAAAAAACTTGTCATCTGTCACACCAAGCACTGGTTAAAACAATTCTTATGGTTTAACTGGTGGTTCCTACTCCCTTGAGGTTCTATTTCTAAGGATCTTGCCAACAACTCCAGAAGCTTCAGAATACAGGGCATGGAGAGTTATATGCACACATAGAACAATGCATGTTAGGCCTCTGCTTTGTGAACTGGATGACTTGTCTGTGTGCTTCTAGATCCAATTCAATGTGCTGGTTTGTGGCATGGGACTGAGCTATTTGCGGGACTGCTTTTTCCTGTTTATGTCATCTTGGACCATCAGATCTCACATATAAGGCAGGCTGCAGTTATCTTTGGCTAGGAATCAACATTTGTTGGGTTCTAGGAGATGTTCCATCTCTGCTGTGGAACCCACCTTATGGAATATTCCCCCCTCCCCCTGAAATTAGATTTGCTCCATGGCTTTTGATATTCTAAAATATGTCCAGTCCTGGCGCTCCCATGGAACTGGAGACTGATCTAGAGTGCTCCATTGTTGAGGAAGCCATTTTTATTTCCTTCAAGTATGGGATTTCTATTTTTTCATGATATTTATTATGATGATCTTTTATATTTATATTTGCTATTTTTATATTCATGGTTTTTATCTATTGTTGTGCACCGCCAAAAATCACCTTGGATGAGATGGGTGGCTATATAAATTTGATAAACAAGCAAACAAACAAACAAATAAAACTGACAGGCAGGACTAAAACAGTAAGAAGTAGTATTGCATCTCCTTCAGTTTAATTGTTTGTGTATGAACTGGTTTAAAGGTTCTTGGTGTTGGAAAGAATGGTGAAGTATCAGGGGATGCTAGGTCCATCAGTCAATCTTTATTTTGGTTGCAGATGGGTATAAAATATATAGAATTACAACTATCCATAGAATAAGGATTTAATATATGAAATTAGATATTAATTACAAAGTTATAGGGATTACTAACAGAGAACAGCAAAACCGTAACTTTAAATTATAAATTAAATTATAACAGTTGTACTTGCTATTGAAATTATTTATATCCCACCTTTATTATTTTCATAAATAATTCAAGGTGGCAGACATAGCTAATATTCCTTCTTCCAGAACATTCCAAAATAACAACCTGTGAGGTGAATTGGCCTGAGAATGCATGTTAAAATCAGAAAGACCAAGATACGGTAATACAATATGAAAAACAAAGCAGAATAACAAAACAAAATAGAGTAGAAATATCAGACAAAATGATATAGTCGACTTCTCAGAGATTTTATGACATAAGAAATTTAGTTTAAATTCATTAGCAGGCTATATGAAGTCATGGGAATTAACATTTAAGAGACAAAATAATATCAACCTTACAGCTGCAAAACTGTGAAACTTTAACACTAAGGTTTAATTGTATGAATGGTATTTACTGACAGTATTAACTGTTAAGACTATCAGGGCAATGCATTATAACACAGTAGCATAACATGAATAAAATAAAACATTTAAAGCAGTTAGCTAAACAATGTAGAATATTTGGTATAATAAACTAAGCTTTTACAGTAGTAGCATAAAAGTGTATATAATATTTGATGTATTTACTGTGATCCAAAATCAAACACGTGGAAGAGAAAAAAAATGATCAATGGGCACAAACAGCAAGCACTGATATGAGAAAAGGTAAACTCAGAGTTGGGATGTAGAAATCTATCCAAGGCAGTGTTTCTCAACCTTGACCGTTTTAAGGCATGTGGACTTCAACTCCCAGAATTCCACAGCCAGCAATGCTGGCTGTGGAATTCTGGGAGTTGAAGTCCACATGCCTTAAAACGGTCAAGGTTGAGAAACACTGATCCAAGGTAATGCATCAGCTCTCTCTCTCTTAACATTGAAGAGTTTGAGGAGTCTGATCAGTGCACCATTAGAACAACCCAAAGATATTTTAACTCCAAGCACGCTTATAGTATTGTGCATAAGCTAGGATTGCTGAAAGCTAACTGGCAAGAGGTTTACTCTTCTTTTCCTCTTCTTAAGCTGGGGAATTTTTGGAGTTGAAATCCCGACATCCTGTTATATCCCACTCACTAAGACTGAGCAATACTGATCTAGGGAAGACATTCAATGCAATTCCATGCAGTTTAGATGATTCATTCTTTGTTTTTGTTTTGTTTCATCTTATATGCCAAATATGTCAAATTCACTCATAACTTTGTTTAAGATAGTTAGACTACTTTGAAATGATCCAGAAATCACATTACTTCATTCTAATAAAAGAAAGGTAAAAAAAATGAAACAAGGGAAAGAAAACCAGTAAACCAATAATAAAACATTTTCTCTTGCCAAACACAGAAAAGGGAAAATACAGCATTAATTCATTTCATCCATGCTCACCATAGAAACAAGAATGCATATATTAATAACAAGGACGAAATGAAGATCTCATTTTAAAGAAAGAAATCTCTTTGGGGAATTAAAAGCTCCAAGTTTACTTTGTCTGTCTGTCCCGGATATATTATGGAAAATATGGATTTTTACTGAGCATATTTATATCATGCATAAAAAGGAATTTTAACATACAGATGAAAATGCTTGCCTATTTAATAAAGAAATAATATGGGTTTAAAGAAATGTAGTAGATCCATAATTCTTCAAGTTTTTTTGAAAAATAAATCAAGTGTTGTTTGCTATCTGTGATCAAAAAGAGAAAGAGATGAAAGCAGTTCAGGAATCCTGATAGCTTTTACCAGTTCCATTACATCTTTATGTCTTACTTACTCATGTGTCATCTACCCTAAGGCTATGCACTCTAAATTTATGTACAGATGGACAGTCTACAAGCATGCATTGCATATAGCCTCTAATAACCCATTTTCCCTTTGCACATTTTACCTTTTCGTGGTATCGAATGAATATGACCCAGCAGTATAATACAGCAAACAAGATAAATACATTTTAAACCACATCAAGAGAAGCATAATTTCCCTATTTTTAATAGTGTAGTTCTTATTTTGATTTATTATACAGGTAGTCCTCATATTTGCCTTATGATAACAGGAAGCTTTTGTTCTCCCTTCATAAATATTGCTTTTATATTTCCACTGATCAGATCTTAAGTTACTAGTATATTTTGTCTCCTTCTTTTTAATTGAAACCAGGGGGTTTTGAGGTGCAGGAGGAAAAAAAAAACACTGTTAATTTTAGGAGTCTCAGAGACACATGGACAGTAGATAAATAGGAGGCAGCTTTTGGGAAGAGACAGGTGACTTTCTTCAGCTTACAGGTGAATTATCCCTGGAATTCATGCAAAGGAGGGAGAACAGTATGAAGAACAGGAAGCTAGACTGGGAGGATGAAGAGAAAGAGGCTGTTGCAAAACTTACATAAAATCATGAAAGTTGGTGTGGCAGAGGAGAAAAGAAAGCAAGGGAAAGAAAAAGAAAGTGCATTTGAAAATAGCAGGGTAGGGATCTGCTCCTCTGCTTACAGGAGGGCTATTTGTGAACAAAGGATGGAGAAAGTAATAAGCTTTGGAGAAAGTATCAGAACAACAGTGGGTAGCCACGTCAGGGTGCAGTATGAGGATTGAGAAGTTTTACATGGAAGGAGAAGCACTTTGTAGGTCTAAGAAAGAGAAGGAAGATGACAGGAAAAAGGTCTGACTTTCAGTGTGTTTCTTCTCCCCCTCTCTCTTGGCAGAGACATAGAGAATAAATACATTTTGGAAGGGTGGAAGAAATCTGCTTTGGTTAATTGTTCATTCAATTATTCAACATAGTTTAAAGTTTCGATTTTACCTGTGTATTAAGTACATACTATTAATGCTTCTGTACACAGTTTATAATGATACAAGTAAATGCTGTTAAAGGTTCACAATAAGAGGTGTGTGAAATTCTTTTCCTTATTTGATGCCCCCCCATCCTCACCCCCACAGTATTGCACAAAATTTAGTAGCAGACATGAAGAGAAAAAGAATTGAAAGATACCCTGCTTTGGATTTTTTGGGAAAACAGGGACTGATTTCAGGACTATAGTAGAGATTGCATATTATTTTATATTCTTAACCATCATGATTATCTTACAATCTTCTCCGTCTAGCATTGTTTTAACTTCTCAGCTATGGGAACTTAAGCTAGGTTAATTCCTAAAATTGTGCAATTAATTCCTAAAATTCTATGGAAAAAATACTTTCCAACAAATAGAAAAAGTTGAATCCAAGTCATTGGAGAAGACAAAAATAAGACTACTTCTACTAGAGATGATTCAACTATATTTTCAACATGGAATAAAACTTCAATTAATATGGAAAGCAAACAC